AACTCTGACTGTTCGACCATGGGCGCAAGTATCAGCTTTGGACTGCCGATACTCTCATAGAATGCGCGCCCATGTAGTTTCCTCTTCTTCCCGTTTGACTGCGCGGCCCCGTTATTGCTTCCATCTCCTTGCGTAGCCCCATGATTGTGCAACGTCCCCGCCACCTCCCCATTCCCCTGCACCGCTGTCTGAGCCATAGTCGCCATCTGCGCAAAGTATCGATTCAGAGACCCCCTCACTAACCTGGGGGCGACGGCGCCCCCAAAAGCTTGGAGAAGAGAAGGACGTATGGCGACGGACGTCGAACGAAGTGAGGTTGAGCGCAGCGAGATCGGTTGAGCGCAATCGTGCAGGTGTCGAGCCGGCAAGTGAAGCGCGTGCAGCAGTCGCGAACCCGTAAATCCCAGCAGAGTTGAGTAAGACTAGGTCAAGCGCATAAACCAAGATACAAACAAAGCAGTCTCGCGTATCTCACCAGATCCCTCGATGACTCGTGCAGTAAACGTCAGGGTCGTCGTGCTCGTCCAGCAAAAAAACGCCATCAGCACTCCACTGCATCTGACCAATCGGAGTGCGGGGTATCTCCGTATGGTGCCTTTGTGCGAACGAAGCACCAGGAGGAGTTGTGGACTGCGTTTGTGGTATGGAATGTTGTTTCTCTCTTCCTTATTCATGTATACTTGTTCTTGTCTCACTGTCTTCCTTTCTGTGTTTGGAGTTCTTGATGCTGGGGTAGGTCCACGTTGGTGAAGATGTTTCTACGACTCCATCCATGCTCGGAACCTTACAAGGGAGATGCTAACATATAACATATTTGTGAACGTCGTTTATAGTTCTCGATTACTGGGTTCAGTGCCAAACAGTTCCAATGCTATGGTACATTACCCACAAGCGGCATCCACATGCATCAAACACCAGTCCTTAGCCTCGCCCGACCAAACCCTGACCGACATCACGCCATCAGGGTACCACATCACAACACACCCGCCACATGTCCTACATATACAAGCACATGCCCACCGCCTCATCGATACACACACGCACAGGAGGAGATCTAGCCTTGTCTTCTCCCATATATGAACGACTCCAGCACATCACCAGCACACCTGTACACGAAGATTCAGAATATACCAATGTAATTTCATCTCATCTCAACAAACCACAACCACCACAACCACCACACCATCTCCCTCGTATACCATAACCACATGATAAAACACATACAACCCAGCCGAATGAACAATCAACCATCCATCTGCCCAGAGACCTCCAGATCACCACGGTACGCGGTGACATGAGACGGACACACGGCTTCCCGAACGGTCTACGTGCGTCCGTCGCACATCACCGCGTACCGCCATGACCTGGAGTCTCATCGAAAGAAAGACCATCTCCAACAATCATTATTCTGGATATCTTCGTCGGCCGTAAAACGCTGTAACATCTTGTCATCTCCACAAAGGGAGATCCAGACAGAGAGAGAGAGACAAAGGAAGTCTCTAAAGTTGTCGAAGGAAAACGCTGAATCGCAAGGACAAGAGACAAAACACACACAGACCACCCCCGTGATTGATCAAGACGCCATGTTGGAAAAGCAAAGAGAGGACGCCGGTATTATGCAGTTTAGTTGATGCAGATGCAGAAAGCTTCGTGTCGAGGTCGAAGCAAGTGAAAAGGTGGAATGGGACCAGTGCCGTTAAAGACAATACTGGGCCCTCCGGATATCATCAAAAGAGAGTACGCCAGGAGCAGGATGTCCGTCCGTCCAGGTGTCATGAAGATATGAAGGAAGTTGTGTGCGGCGATGACAAGCAAACGCCCATGTTTAGAAAGTGCTCCAGTTCCATGTGCCCTGGAAGCTCTGGGCGAGGCTGCCTACGCGCGTATTCTCAGGACGCTTAGCCGGCGCAGGAGTCTCGATGGACTTTGCAGGAGCGGGACTGCTGTTGCTGCTGTCGGAGCTCTCGCTGTTGGTGCGGCTGGAGCGGAGGTGCTCCCACTCGCGGAAGGAGCTGTGGCAGCGGTCGCAGGCACGGTGCCAGTGGCCTTCTGGGTGGAAGCGGGCGAGCTCGTCGAGACGCACGTTGTTGCGCGAGTGCTGCCAGCAGAAGATGCCGCCGCACTTGCGGCAGTGGTGGCGCCGCTGGAAGAAGCCAAAGGGCTCCTGGCAGCTGGATGCCGAACACACCGATGTGGAACCGTCGGCCTAGGGATGAGTTAGTGTGGATTCTGGACGCAACGGCAACTCTGAATTGTGGACAAGTGGACAAGTGGACAAGTGTCGCTAGCCCGAACAGCCCGGACTTCAGCCCTGCATCGGGTAAAAGCCCAGGTAAAGGTCTAGCGTGGGGGACGACGTGCAGGTCTGGACAGAAGCAGTGAATGCCGACAGGACGATGGAAATTATCCGAAGCCCATGGCGAGGCGACATGCACAACATGATCGACCTTGGCCGCCGAGTTTGCCCCCCAGGCGTCTTGTTGAGCTGAGTTGGAGGGCTCGGCATGTCGGCTCTGCAGACAGCGGGAGGCCAGACCAGCGCACGCTAGGCGGTGGGACCGGACCATGTACGTAAGACGGTCCCCTCGCAGCCCAGGTGAGCACGCGACAGGGAAGCACGGACAGGCTAGCAGCGGCATAGCGGACAAGTAGGAAAGGCGCGAATACATACCTGCCAGTGGTTGCGTGTGATTGGCCCCGCGACGGGCGACAGTGGTTCGGCGTTGTAGAGGCTCTGCATGTCTTCATTGCCAATCTGCGAGACGGGCGTCGCGCTGCCCTCGTTGGCGACCCACCCGTACGTGCCAGCCGACCAGCCCTGGTTCGGGGACGACACGCCGCTGTCGACCTTGGGCGGCGACTTGCTGCTGGGCTTCTCCGTCTTGCGCAGCGCCGCGGGGATGCCGATGGCGGTACGTGGCTGGTAGATGCCCTGATGGCGGGCGAGGGGCAGGTGTGTGGTGCGCGGCGACGTGGGCGAGACGTTGGCGGGCGTGTTGACGCCGGAGTGGGTGGGCGAGTACTGCGAGTGGGTGCTCTTGCGGTAGGCGTGGTGCTGGTAGGGTGCGTGTTGCGGGATCGCAGTCGCGGTCGAGAAGGTCGTGGCCATGGTGACGGAATGAGGTTGAGGTTGGCGAGGAGTCGAGCGAGACGTATAATACGTTGTTGCAGGCGGTGAAGTGCTGCGCTGGTATTGGTGCGCTGGAGTGTCTGATACAGCCCTGGCGGAGCGGGAGGCTATCAGTGGCTCTGCAGTGGTGCGACGGGTGCAGACGACGCTGACAGGCCAACAGGACGTGTGCAGCTCCTTGGGGACGTGTTGGTGGTGAGGGTGCGTGTCAATTGGTAGCTGACGTGCAGGCGATAAGAGACGAGGGCGGTGATACAACAGACGCCGGGGCCAACAGTCGACCGTGGTTTAGCAGGACATGTTGATAGTGAATAGATAGTCGTGGTAGTCGTGGTATATGTGGTCGAGTGAGGCGGATATAGGTGTAGATAAGAAACAGCGGTGTCGCGTGAGTGCGGAGGAGACCTGGGGTGAGGCTCTGGGGACAGGATGAATTAAGTTGTTGCCCGCCAGCTGCTCCAGCGACCTCTTCCCAGCAGCGAACTGACGGATGGGCGGCCATGCCCGATGGGGGATGCCTGCACCCTTGGCGACCGACCGAACGACAGGGTATCATCGGGCTACGACCGGCCATTTGGAAGATTCTAATTGTAACACGGCCGTCGCATCGAGCTCGCTGTCTTCACACTGCCTTCCCACTCTGCTTGAAAAGATTCCAAAACTACAACTCCAAGGCTGACCATAACCTCTATATCTTACGCGAACGCCCCATCCCCCCCTTCCCCAGCGCAACCCTCATTCCTTCACCATGACCGTTGCGCCTCTTCTCAAGGCGGCCAGCCGTTGGGCCCCACTGTGCCCGTTTGGGCGTCTCTTATCTCTAACCAATCACAGCCTCTGCAAAAGAAAAGCAACGCCTCAACCTTCTCCGAGGACGGAACTGCTGCGTCAAGCGTGAACTCATTTCCTGGGGCGCCCGTACAGTGATGACATAGCACTCACCCCATATCTTGATTGCGACACCCTGCACAAACGCAAGAAGAGGCGGTGATGGACGTTGATAGACATGATAGACATGCCTTGACATCACAGCTAAACGACAGGCAAGTATGCCGCGAGAGGCGCCACACACCTACCATCCCGCTCAAGTACGGCCAGCTTGCAACAACTGGCGGGGCATTTGGCCACACTACTGTATTCAATTCAATGCACCTCATCCACTCTGTAGCCACGCGAGCAAGGCGCGCGCGACGCAATTATCCAATATATTATGCTCCACTCCAAGTGGACTTGAGGCTATTCGGCCAGACTTCACGATCTTTGGCTGATGTGGGACCGCTTAATGAAATCGTGCCCGCTTAATGAAATCGTGCCCGCTTAAGGGTAGCGGTAGTGTCTTTGTTCGTATTGGTGTTGTGACCGTGCGTGCATCGTGAAGCAGTGCTGCGTGGCGTTGCAGCGATCCCCGGTTGTGGTTTTGACATCGTACCAAACCTTGCGACTCTGACATCCGAAGACTCCCCACCGTATCCGCAACTTTCCTGAGAGAACCACAAGCAGCCTGAACAGAGTTGCTGGTGACTGAACTCTGATTAGAGTCCTGGTAATGCCGAGTGTAATTGCACGGTACGTCCTCGTCACCTTTACAGTTACGAACGTCCAGGGATGAAGTAGCGAAGATGGATGCATCTTTCCATCAGCTATTCATCACTATTCGTCGTCCCAAGTCTTGCTAAGTCTAGGCATCTCTTGCACCGAAGTAACAGTGACGGTGAAGATGAGTAACATCTTACATGTGATGTTCGGCGGCGTTGTCTGGGTCACTACGTCACAGCCACCCAGCGTCTTACCCATGTCCACCAACCATACAATCTCTAACTTCCCAAAGCTACATCCACCACCCACCATCTCGCATCGCAATACCTTCGCCATGCCCTGCCCAGACATGTCTGGGCAGTATCTTTTGTCTTTGCAAGGGGACGCGCATATAAGCAAACGACTCAAGGCCAAGTACGAGGATGACCTCAAGGCCACAATACAAGAGCTCTCTGAGCTCAATCAAGAGACAATGCATAGCTTCGATATGGAGAAGGGGGACAAGGAGATCATCTGCACGAATAAGATTAACGACCTTACTGCTAAGATCGCTCAGCTGGATGAGCAGCTGGCGAGCCTTGATGAGCAGATTCAGCGTTGGAAAGAAGAAAATCCACCTAGTCGGCAGTTGTCGCAGAGCGAGATGGATGAACAGTATAAACACATAGTGAAGAATCCCGCTTTTTTGGAGAGGATCATGTAGGGGCTGAAGTCAAGATCTTAGTTTATCTAGGTAGTACTGACGTACGCGCCTTAACTAGCGAGCCTACAATACCTTACACCAACGGCCGCTTGCTTTCCAAGAAAGAACTGTTGGGACCGACATCAAGTCTCGAGTGCGAATGCTCCCATCGGACCACCCCCAAACAGGCATTGAACAAGTGTCTTGAAAGACAGCGACCTTGTGGAAACCTCATCTCGCCTAGAAGCAGACGGCTTCCTAGTCGGTCCCCTGCATGTTCCTGAGGCGCACCGACCAGATCCTGCCGGATGGATTCAACCGGATAATTGGATTCGTGGGGACGTTGCGCAATCATCCTTGGTGGGATTTGCCTCGCACGAAGTTCGCTCGAGCTTCTAAGATTGCACGGGTGTCGGTAGTTTCTTTTGACTACACCATGCGCAGGGGGAGTACGCGTAAGAGATGCAAGTTTGGCCGGCCAATGTCTTGAGTTACGAGCCTTATGTTGTGACTTGAGCAAACAAGGCAGTCCAACTGCACAAGGCGCGAAAGCGTAGTTGGAGTACTCCTGCTAGATCCAGAGATAAGCGACTCCCTCCGTTGGAGTCTTGGAGACACCGGCCAGATTCGCCGAGATGAAGAAGCGCCCGTCTCATCCTAGTTCAAAGACCGAGCCGACCCACCCACCATCGTCGGGGATTCCCCTCACTAACACTGCGTCGCCGGCCACTGCAACCTCACGATACCGCCAAAACTTCGGATCACATGGGCACGCTCTTCCAATGCATTGATGAGAGATCCGCAGTCTATAACGCTAAGTTGCGCAACGGCCCACACGCATCGAAGGCTAACATGACTACGACTGAGATCTGCCGGGCAGATCAATGCAAGACATCACAGGATTTAGCCTATCCTGACGTCCTTATAGCCCTCGAAAGACGTCCAATGGCGGCTCCGGCGAATCTGTCCTTCCGACATCCACGAGCAACGGCAGCCTTGGCAACCCTTCGCCGGGACACGTCGATGAACTTTGTTTTCTGAACCGAGGCACGAACCGCCACGGGCTAGCAGACGTCAACAATGGCACGGCATGTGGCGCGGGGGAAGTTGCTTCATCTCTCGCAGTGGACACGGTTGGAAACTAAACAAAACGACGCCTGCGTCCTTAGCATGCCCGACAGCTCCACCTTCAAGACCCTTTGATGGTCCACGCGCGACATCCAGGCTATCCCTGAACACCAAACCATACGTGGCAAAATGTCAACAACACTCCCTTCTGAGCCCGTTTCGCCGAAAGCTACTCCGCTGCCTCCGCTCCCAGCTGAGGATCCGCTCACGCCTCAACAATGGAAGACGCTACTCGCTATCACGGATGCCGTCATCCCAGCAATCAAGCCCATATCCACGGCGAAGACGCAGACTGAACTCGCCGCAACCGACACCGACTACTCGACTGCGGTCAGCAAGCTGAGGGCTCTAGCGCCCGGAAACGACCTTGATGCGGAGACGGCGGTGAAGGAGTATCTCGACGACTATGCGAGTCAGGATCCGGCGTTTCGAGCGGAGCTGCAGCGCGTCTTCGCCATGTACATGCCGCAGAACCAGAGAAAGGACCTGTGCATGGTGTTGAATGTCCTCAACACTCGGGCGGGGTCACTGGCTTTGACGGGTTATCTCACGCCAATCAGCGAGCAACCCGCTCATGTAAGGGAGTCGATTATCCAGGGCTGGGCTACCGCGCGGTTGGGACCGCTTCGCCAACTGCGCCGCTCGTTGGTGATCATCACCAAGCAGGCTTGGATCAAGACGTCGCCTTCGCTGAGACGCGTAATAGGTGCTCCACGTGTGCCTGTTGGTATGAGACCTGGAAAGGGCTTCGACTATGAGTTCATCCAGATACCTCCAGGTGACGAGCCTGAGATTATTGAAACAGATGTGGTGGTTGTGGGTAGTGGGTGTGGTGCTGGCGTGACGGCGAAGAACCTCGCTGAAGCCGGACATCGTGTGTTGATAGTAGAAAAGGCATATCACTGGACTCCAGACCACTTCCCCATGGCCGAACTAGATGGCTGGCACCACCTCTTCATGAGCGGATCATTCCTAACATCCGACGACAGTTCAGTGAGCGTAGTGGCAGGCCAGTCCCTCGGCGGCGGAGGAACAGTAAACTGGTCTGCCTCCCTCCAAACCCAAGGCTACGTCCGCCGCGAATGGGCAGCCCGCGGCCTCCCCTTCTTCACATCCGCCCAATTCCAAGAATCGCTCGATCGCGTCTGCGACCGAATGGGCGTGTCGGACAAAAACATCAAGCAAAACCGCAACAACGAGATCCTGCTCGAAGGCGCCAGGAAACTAGGCTGGAACGCTGCGCCTGTGCCTCAGAATACCGGCGGCCAGCAACACTACTGCGGCTACTGCAACTTCGGCTGCGGCTCCTGCGAAAAGCAAGGCCCAGTCGTATCTTTCCTCCCGGACGCCGCCCGCGCAGGAGCGAAATTCATCGAAGGCTTCCACGCGGAGAAAGTCGTCTTCTCCAACAAAAGTGGCAAGCGCGTTGCAACCGGCGTGCTCGGCACCTGGACCTCGCGCGACGCCCAAGGCGGCGTCTCCAACACCCCCCTAACCACTCGCCGCGTCCTCATCAAAGCAAAGCGCGTCGTCGTCTCAGGCGGAACAATGCAATCCCCGCTCCTCCTCCTCCGCTCCGGCCTCAAAAACCCGCAAATCGGACGAAACCTCTACCTCCACCCCGTCACCTTCCTCGGCGCCTACCACGCCGAAGAGATAAAACCCTGGGAAGGCGGCATTCTCACATCCGTCGTCTCTGAATTCGAAAACATGGACAACGCGGGCCACGGCGTCAAGCTCGAAGCCACGAACATGGTCCCGTCGGCGTGTCTGATGTGGGTGGACTGGAAGTCCGCGATGCAGTATAAGATCGATGCTGCGAAGCTGAAACACATGGTTGGGTATATATCCATTGCGAGAGATAGGGATACAGGGAGGGTTTATCCGGATCCGGTGGATGGACGGTGCAGGTTCTCGTATCAGACGAGTAATTACGATAAGAGACATGTGCTTGAGGGTGTTATTGCGCTGGCGAAGATACAGTATGTGGAGGGTGCGAGTGAGATTTTTACCGTCATACCCAACATGCGGCCGTTTATCCGCGATCCCTCAACCTCAATCTCATCCGGCGACGGCATCAACGACCCTACGTTTGTGGCTTGGCTTGATGAGATAAGGCAGAGGGGTTTGCCTAGCCCGGAGAGTGTGTATGTGTCTGCGCATCAGATGGGGACTTGTCGGATGAGTGCGAAAGAGAGGGATGGGGTTGTTGATCCACAGGGGAGGGTCTGGGGGACGGAGGGGCTTTATGTGGCGGATGCGAGTGTGTTCCCTAGTGCGAGTGGAGTTAATCCCATGGTTACGAATATGGCGATTAGCGATTATATTAGTCGCGGGATTTTGGGGGGGTTGGAGGTTAGGGAGTCGGCGAGGCTGTAGGTGGATTGGGGATGGAGGATATGTGAACATGTTTTTCTTTTAGCTGTTGGGGATAATGATAATGTAGCTCCCCTCGTTCCCTTTCCAATCCGTCCCGTACATGGAGCCGAGCTACCAGTATCAATCTCTCGTTCAATGTCGCTTGCGGAACGCATGGATGCTGCAATGCCAAAGGAGAAGAATCATTTGCGTGGCTGCGGTAGTGGCTGTGATTGTGGCTGTTTCTGGCCTTTAGCACTGTCACGCTCGTGACGTCGTATGGTAACTTGAGCGCCGTCAGCATGATATCTTGCGCAAGATGGAGACGCGCACCTCGATGAATGGTCAGACACCACACAGCATGAACAGTCGCAAAGACAATCATGGAGAGAAGTTGAAGGAGTGCCAAGACGTCTGATCTTGTCCACATAGCTAGGATATTGGCTGCTGTTCCCGTGCGGCGTGGTAAGGGGGTGTGGGGGCGGAAACGATAGGTTGTGATCCTTTGGGGGTCGTTCTGTCCTTTACTACATTGCGGGCTTCTGTCTTCTTATCTACCTTGGTATGAACATGTTTGCCTGGGAAGAAGGCATGAAGGCTGTACGCGGCGACATCGCGAGGTTTAGGGGCTCAATTCCTTTGCGCATCCGTATGTGGTTGCGGAAGGATGAGCATCGTCGCGTCTTGATGGTGCTAGTCTCCTTTGTGTTGCGGAACTGCAGAGTGCTGGTAACGATTTGGCGCTAGTCAGTGCCCGAAACGACGCTAATACTGTTCTGGTTGCGGAAGCATGGCCTGAGCGTGGAGGATGGTGTAGTCTAGTCTGCTTTGGGATGCGGAAGCTGTGACCGACGTCCCTCAGCCTCTGTCACTCAGCCTTGGCCCTTGATGTCTACTTGTCTCTCAACAGCCCTGGTTCTCACCTTGTCAGTTTATAAAACGACGCTTCTGCATTCTATCAACATGTCGCCTCCCGACCCACCACCTGAATCATTTGAGGGCTTTCACACAGTTGCGCACCTCTCTGTCAGCACGATAGCTCATCAGCATTTCGCTCCTCTGCCCTTGGGATCTCCGAAGCTTCTTTCGAAAGAGCCCAGCTTCTATCCGCATCTCATAAAGTAGGCATGCAAGTCAACGTCATGGACGATGGCGAACTTGCAGCCGAACAAGGCGAAGAAGTCATGACTGGACGAAACCATCGACCACCCAATATGTCGCTCTTTACAGTCGCTCAAGAAGATTTTGTATACCCTCTTCCGCACTTGGACGATCCCCGGATGCTTGGTGATCCATCGACGAGCATCGACCTACAGTACATACCTGAGCCACCGTCGTCGATACCATTCCAGTCCAATCAGCTTGTAGCAGAGCCCACAGTACCCATTCAAGCTCAGGAGACACGCCTGCCCGAAGAGGTCCTGCTTCAGCTTGCTGAGGTGGAGTGGCAGCATGAGGCAGCACGCTACCACATTTTGGAAAAGGCGCAAGCAATTCCCACAAATACACACGTAGGAGAGGCCACGGCTGGGTATTCATACGCTGTAACAGATGAGGCCGCAACAGGATTGGCTGGGGTCTACGATACCTCCAGTGTGCCAACGTACACACCTCAGATACCCAATTATGGCTTTATCCCAAGCGATGGTAGCAGTACGTACGGGTTCGACGTCCACTCATGGCCTGGACAACAACTCACACCAACCGTCATCTATCCGAACACCCCTCACGATCATATCCAGGGCTTCGGCCCGCAGGGTAATACATTTTCCGACGCTCAAGACCTCCATTACAATGCTGTAGGTGACGCAGGATATGGCCAGCGACCTCCTATTGATCCGATGGCACTCGCGACATCGCATTACAACACGGGTCCTTCTTTGTTGAGCACATGTAATCTTGGAAGTAATACCTCTTCCCTCATGACGCTTACTCGATATCATCACCCACAATCAAGTCTCCCACTACAAGCTGTTGGACCGGTACCTGTTCCTGCAAATCAACTGCCAGCATACATGGCCAATGACATCGAGCACGGTACGATTGGACATCTCGCTGCAAGCCCCCTTTGGAACGAGGATCTGACTCTACCTGCTGCTCGTTCGTTCACTACAGCAATGCATGAGTTACCGCCGGTCGCAGAGACCAGTTTTGATGCAACGGAAACTCTAGATATGACAGGCGCTACCGGCCTACTCGTCCCTACTAGAGCTATCAGAGGAAAGCCGAAGTACGGCAAGAGGACACAAACCGTGGCGGCTAGCCCGTACCATAGAAAGACGAGACCTGGCCGCGAAATGGAGAATGTCTCTTTCTACAAAGACCCAGAAGCCTATAGCCAGCAACAAAAGGATCAGCCGAAGGTCTATAGCCGGCGTCCAGACAAGAGTAAATCATCTTGCTTTGGATGTCGCTACAGCAAAAGCAAACGCAAGGTATGTAGCTTCTTCACGACGTGACCTTCAATGTCTTGCTGACCCCGTTCGAAGTGCACGATCTTGACCGGAGACGCCTGCCAAGAATGCGAAAAAATCTTGAACAAGCACTATGATCGCACGGTTCTTCCAAAGTTCACGTGTAACGTCCGAATGAAGTTTTCTGAGATGTTGATCTTCACCGATGAACCGCTGGCGGTGCTGCCTAACCTGGAGAGCTTGCTCCGCATTCCATCTGATGCTTCTATTGTGGGGGCATCTCAAAAACACGATCACTTCCCACATCCAACGACCGCAAACTTTACAGACTTATCCTTGGAAGCCAGCCTGGCAGTTGTCCAAAATCTCTTGCGTCGCGTTCGCATTCTCCTAGATCTCATCGAGCCATTACATGTCAGACGGCTCTCCACACCTGAGTCTGGTACCCCGGATCTCTGGAGTTACTCGTTTGTTATGCTCTGGAGTTACTCATTCAGTATGGTCAGATGGAAAAGCGCCATTTGCTTCTTTTGGCCAGATCTGAAAAACGCACTAGACCTTCACGAGAACGTCCATCGTGGACTCCATCAACCTTTCCTCCGAAGGGTGGATAATTATCTATCCTCCGGACATCCTCACTTGGCAGCCTTATTTCTGACTGTATTGTACGAAGGGGTTGCTATAATTGAGCCCACCTCTTCAGTCAACATTCCCATGAAAGAGTTTTTCCTCTTATCTGCAACGCACCATTTGCTGCACTTGTACCGTAGGATAGTCCCTACTTCCCCAGTACGCAAAGGATCGAAGGAGCAAGCCGGATTGGTAAACGCAATGCGGCAGTTCAATTCCTTTCCTAAGACATCCAAACTTATGCCGGCAGCATTTTGGCTTCATTGGGAGAGGCCCTCCGCACTTAGGTTCCTGCGATATCACAGGGCACAATCTTCATCGGCAAGGACATCGAAAAGGACAACAATGTCCGCGACTGAGCCGGCATCTTCCCAGAAATCTTCCAAGCAACTGGCGCACCTCTCTTCGCCTAAAGCATATTTTCCCACCCAGATTCCGGTAATCTTTGACGTAAACACCGAGATGATGGATGTGCTCCACGAGATGGCTCACGACGACAAACTCGGTCCATCTAGATCGTTTCGAGAGACCATGCTTGAGTTCTCGCCCTGGGCCATATCTATTGCACTTAAGGTAGTACTCAACGAGATTGAGATCGAAAGCTGCACAGAATCCCAAAAACCTGATCTACTCTTCGTCCTGACAAACGTTTCGCTCCGGGTATGGGAGTTCTGCGGATAGTTTCGTGCTCAATCTGGTCAAATAGCCCAAGTTGAGATTGTAGACGGCTGCATTGTGCGTCATCAAGATGAAGTGGAAACAAACTTGATCGAGTCGCTCGCTAGCGATGAGATGACTGAGTTCTTAATATGGGGTATGAAATTCAAGAGGCGGCTGAAAAAGGCTGGATCTTAGGCGTCAAAGACGCTTGGATATATTTAGCGGCCCGTTGTAGAGGGAAGAAAGCACAAAGGAAGTACATAATAAAGCATGTGTATAGTCGTGAGCTTGCCTCAACAAGTTGTTGTACACCTTTTCAGCGCTTTCTGATGCATAGTATACCCCTAATACTACTCTTCTATACGTTTCTATGTTAAGAACAAGTTGCGCATAATTTATAAAGCGAAAGCACAATGCGAAGTTCGTCGTACAGGCGATGATGGCGATCAGCTCGACTTGGCGACTTTGCTTTCGTAGGTCTACCAATGTATCTAAGAGCTTAGCTTGCGACTCTCTTACAAGTCCGCTGATGCATAGTTGTCTCGCTTGTCCCGAAAAGATGGATGATACAATAGGAGAGCGATTCAAGAGCAGCGTTCACATCTACATGCGCGCCCTTCAAGGCAAAATTTGACCTCACCGCAGCAGCGCATGAGTCACGATAGCCGCGTTAGTGCTAAAAACGCTCACTCGATTCTAATTGTGGTATACAACCTGCTGGTATTGTGTCAAAAACTTTCTAAAGGGCGTGCATGTATAACTGATCAGTAATCCAAAGGCAGCATGGTATGCATTATTCGAGCCTGGTGGGTTCTATCAGCTTCATTGCGCCTCCTCTTGTCAGCCTTGCGTACGCACACATGGCTATCGCAGTCTGCCACGGATGGAGGGAACGCGCAATACCGGAAAGTCTATCATGCTCTGCCATGGCGAATAGCTCGAGCTGACATGTGAAACAGACGCAGGTAAGGCACCAGACGATCTCAGGGCAGCGATAGTGGCAGCCCGATGTGTAGCGCGCCACGTGATTGGTCGTCGGACGCCATATGCCGTGTAGTCCGTGCGGTCCGGGCAAGGGTTCAAGCTAGTGACATCACTTTCTCAACATCAGTGGGGGATGGCCTCGAGACGTCACTCGCCCGCGCACCTCGACTGCGCGCGATCTCCAGCTGTTCTGCCGCTATGAGTATAGAGCCAGTCTTAGGACCCTGAGCGCTTGAAACTGCGGGTCCCAAAACAACGTGTTGCATGCTACCGTAGAGTTTGTCGGTGTGCCCTCTTTATAGGGCGCATCGCGCCTTCCCAAAGCAGGGTTTGCCTGAATTGCGCCAATTCAAGACGACGACTGCCACGCAATTTCCCTCATCACTGCCACCAAGCGCGCCATTATAGTCCTCTCTTCCCACATCAACCGCACCTTCACCACCACACCGACCTCACCACATGCGCAACTAAACAGCCACTCCATCCCCGCCATGACCAGCGTACTAAAAGGCGGCTTCGGCTCGCCCAACGGTGCGCCATTAATCGCGACCAACTCCGGCACCGAGTTCGTCAACACCGTGTGCCCACTCAAGAGCGCCCTCGATGGCTACGACAGCACGCTCCCCTGCAGCAAGCAGAAGATCCACGTCCCGCAGAACTTCTGCGACGCCATGGCCATCCGCGAGGAGGTCTACGGCGAGCAGGGCGTCCCCCTCGAAGCCGAGTTCGACGAAGACGATGCCCGCAGCTGGCACTGGGTCGCTTATGCTTCCGTCGCCACACACTCAACCCACCCTCCCAAGACACTGCGCCGCTCCGACTCTGGCAACACTCCAGCTGATGACGCCCGCCGCGCCTCAGCCACCGCCACCCGCGTTCCCGTCGCGACCATTCGCCTGATACCCCCACCCCACGGTCCAAACAAGTACGTCGAGGACGACAAGACGGACAAGCATGCCGATGCAGACCCACCCGGTGAGGAGCAGGAGAGTAAGCACCCGCCTGAGCCGTACATCAAGCTCGGCAGGCTCGCGGTCCTAGCGCCCTACCGCAGTCTCGGCCTCGCGAAGCTGCTCATCAACGCCGCCCTCGACTACGCGGGGTCAAATCCTGATCTCATCTACCGACCTCCATCTCCCACCGCCCTGGAGATGGCGCAGATACTCGGCAACAACAAGGAGCGGGAGATTACCTGGCAGGGCTTGGTCATGATACACGCCCAAGCCAATCTGCAGAGTATGTGGGAGAAGCACGGCTTCCACGAGGAGTTGAAGAATGATGACGGCGACGTTGAAATACCAGCAGAACCCCACTGGATCGAAGAAGGCATCGAGCATGTTGGCATGTGGAAGAGGTTGCCGATTGAGAAGAGGAAGAGGTTGTCGCTTTCTTCCCTGGAGTCGGGGTCTTGAAAAGTTTTGGTTTTGTTTCTGGTTTACTTACACATGTTTGATAGGTTCTGGCTCGGAGACGTGCCGAACATCTACGTCAGGCCATGATTCAGGCCATGATGTTTACGCTCATTTTACGAACGGAGGATTCAACATTGCTTATACCCCACACTGCACGATTACGACGATACGGCCGGATTTCAACATTATCTGTTTTTTGCGAATAGAAGAAGATGAAGAGGCAAGGCAAGACATAGAGGCGTCATGGTACATGGCTATAGACTAGTAACGAATCTCTTCCTTCTACTTCTCACATTTCATCCACGTATGCATTCTCAAGAGTCCCGTGTCGTCCTCTCTTGTTCTTCCATCCCATTTCTGTCTTCTAGCAAGCTTTCACGTCTTGGTATTCCTTCACTAGCGCGCATCCGGAGAAGCGAACTCGGGTCCTACGCAGTGCCTGTTGGTATACATATCGGCAACTTTTTGCCGTGCGGGTACTACTCGGCTGGTGACCAAGAGGAAGATGCAGAGGAAGGCGCATCCCACCAGTGTGACCACGCACCGACCACACATTGGCCTCGTCACATTCACAGAACGTGGGCACAGTGATACAAACGACGCACTAATGTAATTCCCGCTGTCAGAAACATTTCACTCAATGCTTCCGCTAGATCTAGTCGCAATTCGATACCTTGCGTACCTCCGGCGGAGGGGAGGCGGTGGCGATCTCTTCCCTTTACTTCTGTGCGTGTGTTTATCCGTCCGCCTGGCGTACACTGCTGGCCTTATTATATCTATGGGACGTAGGCACAGTTGTACAAACGACACAATGAAGGTGGTTCCCACTCTTGAAACCATTCACTCGAAGGTTCCACTAGATCACGTCGCAAACAGCGCAATTCGGTACCTTGCATCCTTCCCGTCTCCTCCCTTTTCTACCACGTCGCAACGGGAACCCGCTGCTCTTCCACTGCTTCACCAATATCACTTCGCACCACACTCGCTTCAATGTCTTCAGATATCCCCACCAAACCCGCCTTCAAGGCCCGTCTCCTCAAGCTCCTCCGCCTATGCACTCGACCCGCCGTCATGCTTCCCTCTCTGGGCATCATCGGTCTCATACTCGTCATCACACTGACTACGCTTTTACCGAAAACTGTCCACTCCATCGATATCCCCGGCGCAGACACCAACCACAACTACCTCGTCGCCGTCTCCCACTTCCCTCTGACAGATTCCACAAAAAAAGATCCGTACCGCCCGGATCAAGACCGCAGAATCATGGTCAGCTTGTACATGCCTGTACCCAGGAAACAGTGTTCTGCGCTGAGCCAGCAGGAGTACATGCCGCCGCAAACCGCGAAGATAGCAAACGAGCAGTTTATTGAAGGAAACGAGCGGGAAGTTGGTGTCTTCGAAACGATGACGTATTCGTCTTGCGTTGGTAGTAGCAGCGGCGGCGACGTCAGCAAAATCCCCGTCGTAGTCCTAGAACCACACGTCGACACGAGCAGGTTGATGTACTCAACAACCGCGCGCTACATCGCGGCTAATGGCGCTGCGGTCGTAGTCATCGACCACCCCGGCGACGCGTCAATCGTCGAGTTCACGTCGTCTCGAACCCGGGATTTGGAAATTGTGTATAACAGTGGGACGGTGCCTTTGTGTAATCTTTCGCCTATTACGGAGTATAATGAAACAGTGAGAACGGCAGTCGCCGCGCGCGTATCTGATATCGCGTTCGCCCTCGGCCAAATAAACAGCACATCCTTGCTAACCCGCCAATTCCCTGCCCTCCACTTCACGGGCTCGCTCAACACAGAGTCTTTCGGTATCATAGGCCATGGTCTGGGAGGCACAGTCGCAACGAGTATCAGTCTCTTTCATACCCTGCTCTCCGGTACAAACTCTACAAACTCTACAAACTCCCCCAGAGCAAGCTTCAGCATCAACCTCTCCGGTACACCCCCCCTCCTCAACTCCTCCACGAACAACAGCCCCCTCTTCTTCTTCGGCCGCGCGGACTTTAGGCGTGAACACGACATCAATTGGCCCGTTACATGGAGTCATCTAACCGGTCCGGCGACGGAGTTTGATCTCGATAACTCTGCTATCTTTGACGCCTCAGATCTACCGTTGGTTGTGGAGTTGGCGCGGGAGGAGGGAGGGAAGACGGGGTTGGTCGGTCGGGGTTTGAGTGGGGGGAATCCGGCAGAAGGGGCGAGAGCGGTGATATGTTTCTTGAAGAACATTGTTAAGGAGATGGTGGGGTTAGAGGGGCAGGGGAGGAATGTTGGGGATTGTATTAGGATGTTTGAGGGGGTTAGACCGTATCCTGGGTATGGGAGGGGGAGGGGGAGATGAGAGGGTAGATGGGTATGGGGGGAGATGGGGGCTAGTTAGGGTTGTAGGGATTGTGGAGGGCTAGGGCTGGGGGTGTAGGGAGAGTGTGGTACAGAATTGGGAGTACACGCTGTTGCGCTCGAGAAAGGCGAGGGAGTATGTGTTCGCGCCAGATAAGACGTCATTTCGCGGCTTTTTGTTTGGGGTAGCAAAGGTGCAGCAAGGGAGCGCAGTCGCTGCGGTTACCTAGGTATTCTTTTGCGGTTAATAACATTGCGATCCTAGGAACTATCGCGCATGTATTAGTAGTCTGTGGCAGCGCGTCTATGGATGAGCCTCTTAGTGGCACATAAATCAAGGCAACAAAAAAACATACAAGAGTCTTCATTCACGCCAGGTGTCTCGCATGCTTGCTTTGTCTTAGCGTAGTCTTCGGATTTGCTGTATGCTCCCTTGTATGAGAAGGACCTCGGGAGATGTAGAGGGTCACTCGTTTTCTCCATGTCGGAAATCTCGGAACGAATCCGCGGCGATGCGAAAATGTTCAAACGCATTGCAAACACCATGCACGGAGATACACAATCGCACATAAAAATAAGCATGGATCTCTGTACTTACGCACGATTATGACAATCCAACTACCGTGTATCGAACTACCGCGTATCGCACCTCGCCGCATACCCCACCTTTGCTGGAGACATCTTACTAAGGATTCGCCAAGAGCGGTTGTAGATCCCTGTCACATTCTCGGACAGCCCACCTAAAGCGCTCCAAAGCATGTCACATATCAGTCATCTCCGCCCTACCCTCTTGCGGCGTATATAGCTCCTCATGTGCGCTCCTCCCAATGTTTGCCCAGGACCTTCGAATCGACACTCCCCATAATGGCGCAAATGGCTAGGATACGGGCGGGTCCGGCCGCGCTGCGACGAGCGGCTGGTGGCAATCAGATGTCACGTCCGCTTTCACGACCGCTTGCACACCCGACCACGCGACTGTCGATAGGCGCATTACGGTCAAGATGCATTGCGACGAATGCTGCGATCCAGGAACCTGATGTGGATTTCCCCGCGGGTGTGCCTCCAGTTTCGGTGCCGGCGTCGTCGAAGGTGGATGAGCGGAGGAAGGCGATTAAGAACGCGAAACCTTTTTCTGATTTCTTGACGGATACGTTCAATCGGCAGCATGACTACCTCCGGATCAGTATTACCGAGCGCTGCAACCTGCGGTGTCTGTACTGCATGCCAGAGGGTGCGCTTCCAATATCCGTACAGCAAAACAATTTGCTAACAAAAAACAGAGGGCATACCGCTATCACCCCCCGCCAACATGCTCACCACGCCCGAGATCTTCTACCTCTCCTCCCTCTTCGTCTCGCAAGGCGTGACCAAGATCCGGCTCACAGGCGGCGAGCCCACGGTCCGCCGCGACATCGTCCCGCTCATGCAGCAAATCGGCAGTCTGCGCCCGCGCGGCCTCCGCGAACTCGCCCTCACAACCAACGGCATCTCGCTGCACCGCAAACTAGATGCCATGGTGGAAGCTGGTCTAACCGGCGTCAACCTCAGTCTCGACACTTTAGACCCGTTCCAGTTCCAGATCATGACCCGCCGGAAAGGCTTCGACGCCGTCATGCGGTCAATTGACCGTATACTCGAAATGAACAAACTCGGCGCGAATGTTAAGCTAAAGGTTAACTGCGTCGTCATGCGCGGTCTCAACGAGCGCGAAATCCTCCCTTTTGTCGAAATGGGCCGCGAGAAAGACATCGAAGTGCGTTTCATCGAGTACATGCCCTTCGGCGGAAATAAATGGAGCGAGAACAAGATGATCAGTTTCCAGGAGATGCTAGACATCATCCGTACGAAATACCCTGGCCTAAGACCCGTCCCTGGACACAAAAACGACACGAGCAAAACATACGAAGTACCTGGCTTCGTGGGCAAAGTCGGCTTTATCACGAGTATGACGAACGATTTCTGCGGGTCCTGTAATAGGCTTCGCATTACGAGTGACGGGAATCTCAAAGTCTGTCTTCATGGTAATGCGGAGGTGAGCTTGAGAGACGTGCTTAGACAGGGTAATAATGGCGAGCCTATTGACCAGGAAGCGTTTGAGCGTATCAGGCAGATCGAGATGGACCGGCACGAGGGCCGGCTGAGCGACGAAACGGTGCTGGGCTGGGGCCAACGCGAGCGCGAACTTCTCGATGTTGTTGGAGCTGCTGTCAAGCGGAAAGCGGAGAAGCACGCTGATTTGGACGACCTTGCCAATATGGAGAATAGGCCTATGATTTTAATTGGTGGGTGAATCTGGATTCTCTTTCACTTTCTTCTTTTCTCTTGACGAACAGACACGACGGTCATGACGGTCGCGACAGTCTTGGTTGGATGTCTCATGATACCACGGCGGTCACTGCATAGCTGGCATTTTGAGCGATCTCGTTTCTCTTGACTGCACTATTGCTTAGACTTGGATATTTGGCCATATACACCAATCAAGGGTGGGTGGGGGAGGCGGAGGGGAGGCGGAGGGGAGGAGGAGGGCAGGAGGTGGGGAGGTCGAGTGGTGTA